TTCCTCGCGGCGGCAGGACTCCCGCTGCGTGCCGCCCCGCGCCGGGCCGAACAGGGCTGGGGGAGTCTGAGAGCACTGCCCTTTGTGCAGAAGACCGAGGTCACACGGCCATGGACAGCCCACCAGCCCTGGAGGCCCCTCCCGCAGACAGGCACACCCTCACCAGCTTTCTCGGGCCACCTCTGTGACAGGGACGGGCCTGGCAGCACCTGGAGGAGGCAGCATCGTGACACCAGGGAGCAGGGGAGCCAGCGAGGCTCTGGCCGACAGGGTGGGCCCACGATCCTCAGGGGCGCTCCGCCCCCCGCGACACACTCACTGCCTCCTTTGGGTGCAAGGCTCGGGCCCAGAAGAAATGCTGCTTGCCTCCTGCCCTTCAGGGCGCGTCCCAGCCCTAGCTGGCCAGGAATCTGGACCTTAGAGATGGGATTCCCCAGAAGCGCCAGGAACAAACCGCTCAGGAAAAGCCAGAGACCAGGCGTGGTTTTCCCAGTGCAGTCACTTCCGAGCTGCCTGCCTTATTAGGCAAGTTACCCACCCTTTCTGGGTGGGCTACTGGGGACTGGCCAAAGGCTCTAGAAGTCCCTACCCTGCTGCCCTCTGGATGGGCAGAGCCCAAGGAGACACGAGACACATTACTCAAGCCATTCTTCCGTTGAAACCCTGGCTCCTGGAACACCCGTCACTGCCCACATGGCATTACTGTCTCTTCCCCAGCTGCAGCCCAGCTGGAACTCAGGCAAGAGCCTGTTCTGTCAGAGACGCCCCACATCATGGGAAAGCCGTGTCCTTGCACACAGTCTCGACGGCCCAGAGGACAAGCTTGTTGATGACACTGATGGCACTTCCTGAGTCCGAACAGCAGCATCCGGCAGTACTTCTGCAGAAAGGAAACCACTAGACTAAACCTAATCCTATTATCCAAGTCACTGTGTCCACTGTTTTCTCAGAGAGCAACATTCCCCGAAATGACACTTCACAGTCACGCTCGGGTTGGATTCTGGTGGCAGAGGCTTTGCTGTTTTGTCAGGGCAGAAGAATCACCACCGGATGAGCCATACGTCAGCTTTTCACCAACATGGTTTTGCAACACGCAGCACTTGTCACGATGCGCCTGTATTTTCTGGAAGCAGAGTACACCTGCCTGTGGCCTAATTCAGCACCACAGTCAACTCGAGTGCTTGCTAGTGCAATTCTTGGAACCCAATCTCAGGAATCCACCGAGACTTTTTCTCAGAAACCCCCCTAGGTAAAGGCAGAAGCAACTATCAGCATCTTCCCAGTGTCTGGAATAAAAGTGGGGTCTCGGCAGTGTTGGCATGGTATCCCTGTGTGTTATGTGAAGTCCTTCCACGGGACACACCTCTTGCATGTGGCTGTGCTGCACAGGTGGTCAACCAAGTAGCGCCACACTTCCCAAGCTGCCACCCCAGGGAAGACTTTCTGCTCCTGCAACTCCCTGACCAAATGCCTGGCTCTAGCTGCATGGTTGGTGCATGAGCAGAGCCACCCTGGGCTGGCGACAAGTCCCTGGAGGCCTGTGAATCACGACCACCAGAAGCACTGCTTTGCAGTAAACGAGATGCAGGATGAGGGGGACAGGTAGCCAGTGCTGTTCTGTGATGATTCTGAAAGACGTCTGTAATGAAAGCCTGGCATCTGGATAAGCATTTGGAATAAGGAAAAGTGTTCCCCACCAGGGTGCCTTACACACAGCTAGATGGGATACGCTGTGCCCACCTGGGCCATGTGGTGCAGCCTGTTCCTCCAGGGCCACATGCCTGCACAGGCACATGGCTGTGCTGAACACTGTAGGCAACTGTAGCACATGGTATCTGTGTGTCTAAGTGTAGAAGAGGCATAGTAAAAACGTGTTACCGTCTTAGGGGAGCACCGCTGCATGTGCAGTCCTTGACCAAAATGTCACAGTGCATGACTGTATATCAAAATGCTAACCAGGTTGTAGTATGTGCTGGACAAAATAGTTCTCTCCCTTCTCCCCTTTTGTAAATTTCGAATGTGATTTTGACCTTTATAATTTTAAAAAGTGTAATAAAATGGAAGTAAGAAAAAAAAGAAGGCCAGCTATGGTGGCTCACACCTATAATCCCAGCACTTTGGGAGGCTGAGGTAGAAGGAATGCTTGAGCCCAGGAGTTCAGCCTGGGCAGCACAGTGAGACCTCATCTTTACAAAAAATCAAAAATTAGCCAGGCATGGTGGTGCATGTCTGGAGTGGAAGGATCACCCGAGCCTAGAAAGGCTGCAGTAAGCCATGATCATGCCACTACACTCCAGTCTGGGCAACAGAGACTCCGACTTAAAAAAGAAAAGAAGGTTCCCAACTCAATCAGAAGAAAAGGGAGCTGTGACCTGAACTCAAATTGTCAGAAATACCCAAACCTCAATGACTTACCCCATACAGACGGCAGAAAGATCCTTTACTCCCAAATCACAGGAGAATAACTGCACAGAGGAGTTAAATGCTTCCTTTGTTACATAAAGCCAACACTGCCTCTCTGGTTCAATTGCTTGAGTATCCCTGGACTGCAAAGCATTACGCCTGCGATGTTCACAGCCAGCACCTCCAGTGCCATCAGCAGTGGTTCCTGTGAGTGTCACCATGCATGGTACCCGCTGTTTCACTCACATTCAGCTGACAATTTACCCCAGGGAATTCCACCCCAGTCCCCAGAGTAAACATACACCTGATGTTCTTCCACACTTTATTGTACCAGAAGCAGCAAAGTTCTGAAGGAGACACAATTTAAGATATCACAGGTGTCCAGCTTGTCAATATGCCATTTTATCATTCTCATTAACAAAGCAGCTCAGTTTGCATTATAATTAGTTGTTATAAGACACTGCACATTCTCCTGAAAAACACTGTGATTTACCAGACAGAAGGTCACGCTCAGAACAGTCTCCCAACTAGCAGTGGCGAGGTCGCCACAGGTGCAGGGGCTGCGCCTGATTCCAACGCCGTGCTTGAAGGGGTGCTTTGCAGGATCCGTGAGGGCGAGTAGACAGTTCTCAGGCAGTCTCTGTGACCCACCTGACAGAACTAAGGGACTGCCTGGCTTAATCCTACTGCTCTTAGTGGACTCGTGTTGTTATATGCTATGAGGACATAGTGTATGCCATTATTCTGCTTAGCTCAAGGAAGGATAAAGAATTAGAATCAAACTATAACCAGTTCTCTAAGCAAAAGACACAAAGTAAGTGCTGAGGTTAACAAGGATGTGACAGTCCTCTTCATGTGGCCTTGTACTGCTTTGTGAACTGCATTATTAAAAATCCTGAGCTTAACAAAAATCTTTATAAATCAACTCATCAAAACAGGCATTTGGCCAATAAGAATTTAATTTCACACCAATAAAACTTTAGACTTTAGATTTATTTAGGGCCATTTGAACACATTTATAGATTATTTTAGTTTACTCTAAAAGATGATAAGACAGCTCCCCTTCAGTGAGACCCTGGCCTTAGTATATTCGCTTTATTTATATAGCAAGAGGAGAACATTAAACATGGAAGCTTTTGATTGTGGCACTGAACGATGATCTACACGGGGCATCCTTCAAAGGCTACAATTAAGGACCCACCTAGCTTCTCAGCAATACAAGCCCGGTTGAGGTCTTCTGGCCCGTTCGCTTGACATTCATGCTTTATGCCTAGAGAGGAAAACAACAATCTATTTAGAGTCATGGCCATAGCTTCCCTCTTTCCCTAAGTTCCCACCTGGGCAGATAAGCTGACGCGGGTACAGACAACGGCACACCACACGGGAATGGGGTCAGTAATCCAAACTCCAGGCGTCATGATGCAGGAGCCCACAATGCAAGCGGACTGAGAGAAGCCAGACAGCAGCACGCACGTTCTACATGACCCTCTGGGCAACAAACAGCCAGCCCGGCCCGTTCGCTGTGAGAAGCCCGGGAGTGGCTGCTGTGAGGGGGCACAGGAAGTAGCCTCTGGGTGCTGCCACTGAGCAGGAAGCTGCCATCGTGTTCCCTCTGTGAAGCATCCAACATGTTCTACGAGGATGTGTCACATAATAATCTACGAGGATGTGTCACATATACTTTTCTACAGACAGATAAGAAAGTAAAAGGCAGGTCTAGAAACAGTGTTTTCTTGGTTTTTAAAATATATGTAAAAACATGAATTAGGCTTCTCTGATCGTACAGCCGATTTAGTCAACTGTCCTGGAAAGCACACGCAGCAGCGCTTGCTGGCTCTCCAATGGCCTCACGCTACACACTAAAGAAATCTATCGCTATGAAGACGACGTGAAAGGGTACCAATTGCTTTCTTAGAAAAACATCACCACGCTGCATGTGAGCTCAGTGTACTTGCAGAGCAGGACTGCAATGCCATCACTTAAAGGCCATTTGTCCAGATGCTACAAGCTCAGCAGATTGGCTTTTGAGCCGCCCAGGAGTGATCTGAGAGCCAAGTCAAGTCTCCACAGCCAGTCCAGTTCCTCCGAGGCAAGCAGAGTCCGGATGGTGCGGAGTCCCTCGGTGTCATGCTGGTTGTGCTGGGGAGGCTCTGAAGCTAAGGAGTCATTTAGAAACGTCCGTCAGCAGACTAGGGGACATGCTGCTGGGGACAACCAACCAACATCCAGCCAAGTGCCTGAGGACCTGATACAGCAGTGAGGCTGCAGCTGGAGCTCAGGAGAGGCAGCAGAACTGTTTTCCTAACTAAGTACAACAAGCTCGGCAAACCTGCTCCACAAGAACAGAAAAACCAGTCAGGTGAGACACACAAAACAAAACCAACATTAGGCCAGGCCCTGTGACTGAGGCTCGCCCAGCTAACTGGAGACAGCCATGTCAGGAAGGCAGCCAGGGGCTCTAGGCGGAAGCTCACATGGGACTCAGGCCCAGCCCCCCACTCTCTGGCTGAGACAACTGAGGCACACGCGGTCACATGGCAGCTAGATGACAAGCCGAGCCTCGGTGCAGGCTTGCGGGCCCTGGCCCGTGCTCTTCCATCATACCAATGCTCTCCCCTGGCAGGAGGAGTCTGGCCAGGCCATCTCAGGATCCCATCACCCAGGGGCAAGTCAGACAGGACTGGCTCGCGAAGGAGTGCACTCTCTTTTGGACACATACGACACAGTTACCTAAAATCATACCATTCAACAGTGAAGCTGAACTGGGGCATCCTTCCCCACCGATGGTCATTTCCTTTCTGCAACTTTGTTATACCAACATTCAAAGGCATAGCAAGTTTACTATTAAATTATGCCCAATGATGCCAGGCGTGGTGGCTCATGCCTGCAATCCCAGCACTTTGGGAGGCTGAGGTGAGAGGATTACCTGAGCCCAGGGGTTCAAGGCCGGCCTGAGCAACTTGGCAAAACCTTATCTCTACAGTAAATCAAAAACTTAGCCAGGTGTGGCAGCATAGTCCTGGCTGCTTGGAAGGCTGAGGTGGAAGGATCGCCTGAACCCAGCAGGTTGAGGCTGTGATGGCTGTGGGTATCCCACTGTACTCCAACCTGGGCGACAGAGTGAGACTCCAACTCAAAAAAAAATAATGACCAATATAAACCAGTGTAAACCTACAATATGAGAAACTTGACAGCATTTCAAACTAGTTTAAACCTGCTGGGGCCATGCATACTAGCTCATGTCTGTAATCTCAGCACTTTGGGAGGCTGAGATAGGAGGATTGCTTGAGCCAAGGAGTCCAAATCCAAACACAGTGAGAGCTCATCTTAATCAATCAACATTATCTATTGCTGGGTATGGTGGCTCATGCCTGTAATCCCAGCACTTTGAGAGGCTGAGGTGGGAGGATTGCTTGAGACCAGGAGTTAGAGACCAGCCTGGGCAACATAGTGAGAACTCATCTCCACAAAAACTAAAAAATTAGCCGGGTGTAGTGGCACACATCTGTAGTCCCAGCTAGTTGGGAGGCTGAGGTGGGAGGATCATCTGAGCCCAGTGGCCACAATGAGCTGTGATTCTGCCATTGCAGTCCAGTCTAGGTGACCGAGGGAGACTCTAACTCAAAAACAAAAATAAACAAAAAACCTTCCAGAAAAGATAATCTGAAGACAGTGTCCAGGAACATAGTTATGAAGCACAGGCTGGGCAGACTCAGTGACAGCAGAGGCCACACAGCCAGCCAGGCTCGACCTTCTGGTCTTCTTAAAGTGAGTACTGCTTCTGCCTTCTTTGTGCCCTAAGTTCTCCAAGATGAGGTGCTTCTCAGGAAAGCCGCAGCCCCACACTGCGCCTCTGCATGTCCAGAGGTATCAGACTGTACCTTGGAACTTCTTCTTGATGGCGTCCTTGGAGCTTGCATAGATCATCTTGCTCTTCAGAGGTGCTAGTTCTGGTGCCCTATACAGGAATTCGCCAAAACGGAAAAGGAGGTTAGAGAGCTTGGTGGACATCTGCTTCAAGGATGGGAGGGGCCTCTGCTCACACCACCTTGAGGGTAAGTGCTGTGGGTGGGCAGAGTCACACAGACAACAAACGGCAAGAACAGGGATCCGCGGTGGGAGGGGAGTGGACACTGGCACGAAGTCACAGCAGCATGGCCCCAACAGAGAGCCAGCCTGGGGCACTTCCCTGTAGAACCCGATTCGTTTCTTTAAAATAATTTTTCAATTTTTTTAAATAATAAAGGGTTGAGTTCAGGCTAATGAATGTATTTATACAAGGTCCTGACCGTTTTCTAGAAGTTGGAAAAATAAAGTTTCAAAAGACAGAAAAGTACAGAGAACAATCTTTAAGTATCTACCACCCAGAATTAAGAAATGCTGGCATTTGTGCTCCAGAGTGTTTTCTAAAAAGAATACAGCATAAAATCCAAGTCCCTTCTTGGCTCCCCCGTCACTTCATTTGCGTCTACTCCAACAGCAGGCTCCGGTCACCCAAGCACTTGTTTTCCATCTTGGACTAACAAAACAACACACATTCCATGATCAAACTGGGAGTTGAAACCTGAGTATCAATAATTCTCTTGAGAAAACATCAACTCCACGTATATAGAGGGTGCCACCCAAAATATATATATACACACACACACATTTTAAGAAATGAAAAAACTGTATTAAAATTATAATACTCACTAAGATGAATACAAGTTACGTTTGACTTCTGCAATTACAAGCAGTGCTCAGAGTGGTTCCCATCAGCATCCAGACACTTCTGATGATGGCAAACATCACTTAAGATGTGTACACATTTTTTGGCACCCCGGTATAATCTCATGATTCTAAATCTAGCTTTCACAAATATCTCTGCAAGTTAAATGGCAACTCAGCAATAATTATGTCTTCATTGTCAATTTTATGACTGTCTCACAGTTAGACTATTTTAGCACCATCCCCGCTAGGGTGGAAACACGCTGGAAGCACAGCATATACTTCGCACTTTTTTCACCAGCTATTCTGAGAAATCACAGAAATGTCACTCACAGTGGACAGAAAGCCTCATCCCCACCCCGACCACCTCCACCTGTTCTCCCCATGCCACTGCCTTAGGCCCGCCTTCACACCACGCTCCCAAAGCTTCCAGGAGGACGGGCACCGCAAGTCCTCAACACGGCCGATGGGTTCATGGGATCTGTGGCTTGAAGCAGATGACATAACAAAACCAATTCCTTTTCTCATCATCGATGCTGGAGGAAACAATGTTCAAGGCCCTGCTGCAAACACACCATTTTTGCTTCCAGTCACAGCTTCTGAGCACCTATCAGCATTGTGAAGTAAGGCCTTACTGTAGAGTTAAACATTTCCAAGCATTTAACCTTTCCATTTAGTGGTCGTATTTCCAGGACATCCAGTGGCCATGAGCACTGTCATATGGCCTCACCTTACCTACCACACCCAGGAAGCAGGGATACTATTCTAGGGAGCTGGAAAGAAGACTGTGCCCAAGGTTCAGAGGTATAGTCCTCCCATTCTAAGGCGAGCAAGGGAGGCAAGGCGCAGGATGGGCAGGTGTTTGAGCTACAGTGTTAAGTGGGTACTTTTCTCAGGCAAATAGGTCAGGGACACGAACATGCAGCAGCTGTTCTGATTTTACTCTACCCAGATTGTTAGAATACTTTAAGAGCTACTCCCTGGGGCCTTGGACAGAGCCTGCTATGGTAAACATCTGCAAAAAGGTTTTACCTTTTCTTAAAATAAGTAAGTAATGGTACAAAATAAACCACTGCTCTAATAACATTAAATTTTCATTTCCTCTTTCTACTTTCATTTTCCAAATTTTTTTAATAAGAATGTGTAATATTCAGCTGAGCACAGTGGTTCATGCCTGTAATCCCAGCACTTTGGGAGGCCAAGGTGAGAGGATTGCTTGAGGCCAGGAGGTCAAGACCAGTCTGGACAACATAGCAAGACCTCATCTCTACAAGGAGGAAAAAAAAAAAGAACGTATAATTTTCACAGTGAAAAATACACACAAAAAAACAGGGAAAAAAACGCAAATGAAGGAAACACTGACCAACCTAAAACCCTAAGACATTGTTGGCATATCTTCCACTCTGCTGTAAATCCCACAAAGTCAGGGATTTTAGCTGCTTTACTCACAACTGTTTTCCCAGATCCTAACATAACACTGGCATTTGACAGAAAGTTTAACAAATGCACCTTCATTCAAATTCCAGCTACGCCAACTTCAAGTCTTACCATCTCTTAACTTCATGTACCAGCCTCAGTGGACAATGAATCCCAACATGTGCCCCCGACCGCACATCTACATTCCTCACAGCAACTCGGTTCAATCAAGCACCATGAAGGTTTGCGCGGAAATGCAAGAGGTACTTTCTGCCTAAACCTCAAGTCTTGAGGCCTCCCAGCCCCACAGCTCTCACACCCCAGATGCCGGTGGTGTCCCATAAATGGCCACATCAAGGAATGTAGTAAAAGATAAATTACATGAGGGACACAGGTAACTATCTTCTAGAACTTAATCTCAAAAACTGACTTACTTGAAAAGCCCAGAATAACAATTTAAACAGAATTTCAACGAACAGACCACGTAAAATCACATCATAGCACTTTTTTCACCACCTAGTGCAACATCGTCCAACAGAGCTTTCTGCAATGTCAGAATATTCCACATTTGTGCTGCCCAATAAGGTGGTTGTTAGTCACATTCCAAAGGCTTCTAAGCAACAGAAATGTGATAGTTCATCCAATCAACTAAGACACTGAACCTTTTAAATTAATTTCAATTTAAACAGCCACATGAGGCTGGTGGATACCCTCCTAGACAGTGTGAATGCAGAGCAGATCACATGGGGAGAGAACAGTCCCAGCTTCTTTAAAAGGAGCAAATCACAGAGGCACAAGCAAAGGCTTTGTGTTTTAGAGAGTGCAAGCCTGGCTCCTGACATAGCATGCTGGAAAAGCAGGGTTTCCTATAAGCAGGAAATGTGTGGGAATTGTTAGCTTATACAAGAAGTAAATTCAGAGGATTGTAAAAAAAACTGCCTCTTGCCCTTCCTCCACCAAAACAAAATTCATTATTTAAAGTCATTTTTTTTTTTTTTAAAGACTAGTCACGTGTAGTAGTGAGAAAGGGGAGAAAGTAGAACAAGGAGTTCAATCTATAACTGACTATGGACAATCCACTGAGACAGCTCACTACCTTCGGACTAGCCGAAAATCACATTCTTTCAAGTACACACACAATAGTCAAAACTTAGTTTTGGTCCCACACACATCAACACAGCTAGGATTATGAAATCTTGTTAACAAAAATTAAATGACAACAACTGAAAGTAGCTTGAATAAAAATTGCTTGGATCCCAGATCCAGGTCTACAAATGATAAAAGGAGTGGAACTCTGAGGTTCACTACTTCTCTCAGGCTTACCACAGAAAGAACATCAGCTCTTCTTTCCTGGACTCCTTGGTCTCAAAGCTCGCATCATACAGAGCATAGCGACAATCCTTCTCAGGAAGCATTCCCACGAAGTGCTTGAAAGGGTCAGTGATAGTGACGCCAACGTCTCCCACGAGGATCTCTTTGCCTTCTTCTACAATGATGCACTTCTTGTCTGCGCTGAGACAGAAAATGACAGCCTTCTTTCTCTTCTTGATCTCTTCTGGTGTGGAGCACTTTCGAACTTTCATGTCATAGAAAATGCGACAAACTTCATCAGCAACTTGCACTCCGGAGGCCTAGAATTAGAAAATCAATGAGAAAGAGGCTCCTGATCCTTATCATGCCAAATGCAAAATCTATTTAACTTCTGGTTATAGACTGGCATGTAATTAAAAATGTTAAGGTATGGTGTATGTATCATCCAATGAGAAAACTGGAAAATATCAGCTGTGATCACCACTAATTTCAGACACCAGACTTCTGAAAAGATCCCACACATTAGTTATCTGCACAGCAGCTGGAGTAAGGCAAGGCTCCAGGCTGCAGCAGCCTCTCCCACTCCACATCCTAGAGGGAAGGGCCTCCGAAGATGCCAGCTTAGTTTCTTCTTTCACAATTTGCTTAGAGCCTTCACTGGAGTAGGTGATCTCCCAGTCTGTATATTAGTGATACCTAAAATTTCTTTTATAATACACAGTGGATGGTCACAGCTGTTGGGTTGGAAAAATTCCATTCTTACAACATCTCTTTCTTAAAAAAAAAAAAAGAATTAATACTAAGGGGTCTTTGCCCTACTCACATTTCAAAAGTATGTGTCTGATATTCAGAAACATACTTACATTACTCACTTGCTGTGAAAATTTCACTTATAAAATCTCCAAGTTTCAAATTAAGTATAAATAAGAAAATGTTTACTGGTATATAACAAAGAGGATAGCTTAATTTGGGATTACACTGACCAGAAAAAATAACCTTTTACCATGTTACACTTGCTGTTCTGGGATAAAGGATGGCTAAACAAGATTTGATGGCACAAGAGCTCAAACCAGCTTTTGTCTTTCCATCTTAAGAACTATGCTATTTACATCAGCCTTATCTATAATTGTTTATGCTTCACTTAGTACTTTGGTTTGCATGTAAGCTTTTCTAAAGCAAGAATTATAAACTTAATATATTTTAAATATTAAACAATGCAAAAATATTAATGATACCCAAACTTAAATGTCAATTAATCTAAGAAAAAAATGTATGCAAGATGAAAGGATATCCCATAGAATGAGGGAAAATATCTGCAAATCCTATAAGGAACTTGTATTCAGAATAAAGATCCCTTACAACTCAACAATAAAAAAGACACTGCAAATAAAACATGATAAAAGGATTTGAATAGTTCTCCAAAGAAGATACACAAATGGTAGGTAAGCAATGGAAAAAATGCTCAACATAAATAGTCATTAAGAAAAGCAAATCAAAACCATAATGAGATGCCACTCCACACCCACCAGCATGGCTTAAATAAAAAAGAGAGACAATTACAAATGTTGGTAAGGCTGTGGAGAACCTGGAACCCTCACATACAACTGCAGAACTGTAAAAGGGTGCGGCGGCTCTGGCATACAGCTTGGCAGTTTCTCAGAAAGTTAACACATGGAGTTAACACCTGACCCAGGAGCTCCACTCCTAGATACACACACAAGAGAAATGAAAACATGTCCGCATAAACACCTGTTCACAAATGTTCACTGCAGCATTATTCATAATAGACCAAAAGTGGAAACAAGCCTAATGTACATTAAGTGATGGACAGATGCTAAAAATGTGGTATATCCATACAATAAAATAAAAAATGAGGGACTGATACATGCTACAATATGGATGGATCTTGAGATATGCTATGCTAGGTGAAAGAAGCCAGCCAGAAAACACCACATACTGCATGATTCTATGTATTTGAAATGTTCAAAAAAGGCAAATTCCACAGATAAAAAGTAGCAATTTCCAGGAGTTGAGGAAAGGGAGAATGGGGAGTACTGCTAAGAAATACAAAGGTTCTTTTTGGTTGAAAGTGTTCCAGAATCGGACAGGGGCAATGGGCACATAACTCTGCAAATGGACTTAAAAACCACTGAACTGCACTTTGTGGCATATGAACTCTGTCTCAATAGAGCTGTTACAGCAAATAGGCATGTTCTCACTCACAAGTGCACACGTGGAAGGAAGGAGAGTGAGGAATGACAGACAATGATAGCTTAGAGGGGGAGGGACGAGAAAGTACTTATGAGTACAACGTAGGTTATTTGGGTGATGGGCACCCCAAAAGCTCTGACTTCATCACTACCCAACCTGTGTGTGTAACAAAACTACTTCTGTACCCCATAAATTTATACAAATAATAATTTTACCAGGCTTGTTTAAAATGCATGCAAGAATTCAGGGGGGATACACTAAGATCCCAGCATTTACTTAATATTAAGGTAATCATCTCATTTATTAAAGAGCACTAAATATAATATACTTCAATCCCATCTAACCTAATCCACGTTTAATTATAATTCACTTCTAATATAATCCACATTTTGTTTATAAATGAACATTTCACTCTAAATTAATAAAGTGACATACAGAAAATTGAGGCTAGAAAACTCAAAAACTACACAACCTTATTACATTCTTCCTTTTACAAAGCACCTTCCTTAAGCCTTTTACTGCTTTTGGAATAGTATGTTTTTCTACCTTTACTAGGTATCTATGCTAAGCAAGTTAAAAATCTTTATTTGCAACAGATGAATAAAATGTTCAAATTAACAAAAATTAATGAACAACTAGAAACAGGCTCAATTTCTCTAACTCCTTTGTCCATAATGTTGATTTGTAAATCACATTTGACCCAACAAGTAATTTTTAAAAGCATAAAGGCAACATTTGAAGCCTTATATTCAATCAACTGACCAACCAGTATCTGAATATATCTGTCAATATCTAAGCACGTCAAACAACATTCTAAATTCAATCAAATGAATCATATACTAGTCTTTCAACAGAAAGTGGCTGGGTTCGGTGGCTCAGCCTGCAATCTCGCGCTTTGGGAGGCTGAGGTGAGTGGATTGCCTGAGCCCGTGGGTTTGAGACCCGCCTGGGCAACTTGGCAAGACCTCATCTCTACAATAAATAACAAAAATTAGCCGGGCATGGTAGCGCATGCCTATAGTTCCGGCTACTTGGAAGGCTGAGGCAAGAAGGATCGCCAGAGCCCAGCAGGTTGAGGCTGCGGTGGCTGGGAGCATGCCACTGCACTCCAGTCTGGGCGAAAAAAAAAAAGGAAAGAAAACAGAAAGTAATGTATGTTCTGCAATAATAATATAGCTAAATCTGGTTGTAACTTACAGGCACCTTAAAAGCCTTAGTAAGGAGAAAGTTGGGCCTTTTCAAAATCAGAAATGAGGTCTGTGGTGGTTTCTAATACCATTAGACACTTTTGCTCAAGGAAATTAACACTGAAGCCTGTAAAAGAAGCTGGCAAGAAAGTGGAAATGGAAAGCCAAATTTGAGACAATTACAAACATCCAGAGGAGAAAGCTCTGAACAACAGCAGGAGACTAAAAAAAAAAAATTCCAAGGACATGTCAGAGTTAAACCAACACAGTTGAATAAGGTATGAAAGTTATTTCAAAGACGACCCAGGATTCTCCGGACAGTCACTAGACTGCAACATATGGACAGAAAAAGGAAATGGCCCATATACCACTTTGACTCCGAAGACTGTGTAAGACACCCAGGTGGAGAAGACCAGTTGGGAATGTGGGCAGGGATCTCACAGGAAAGCTCTGCCCAACACATGTTCTAGACCAGCCCACACCAGGGTCACCAACATGAAGCAGCAAAAGACCCCAAGCAAGGGGACTGGTAGCTGGGCCCAGAGGTGCAGTAGGCTGGAGGAATGGGGCAGAAGTCCAGGGGGATGACCCCCAGAGAATTGATGAGGCCTGGAGGGCAGATGGGATGGGAAGGGGAAGCCAGTGCCAACGGCGTTCCGTCTCACACCTGGGGAGATGGGACCACACTAGACGTTTAAGAGCTTGAAGGAGGAGCAAGAAGAGTAACAGAACATTAAAACAGCAGAAGCAACAACCACCCAACTGATGCTGAGTACATCCTACTGCCAGGATCACACTTCTAAATCACACTTATGTCTCGAGGCGGCTGCTATCCTTATTTGTACCTTACAGATGGTTGGAACTAAGGCACAGAAAAATGAAGTGACTTGCCCAGAGTCATGCAGGAGTAACAGCAGAGCTGGGGGGTTGGACTCAGGCAGTTTGGCTGGAGAAGATACCCTTAAGCACTCAGACAATTAAAAGAGCTCTAAAGAGACTGAGGCCAT